CGCAAGTCGGCATTATTACTGTGCATGCAATCGGTCAAAATGCCGCTTCTTTCATTAGCCGCCCTTGTGCAATGAACAACCTGCACACCTATACGCGGCGGCCCTGATCAGCACAACTAAATGAGAAGTTCATTAGAGCGATTTGGCGCCAAACTCATGTTCGTAGTTCGCGCCCAAGTCTATTTCTGTCGCATTTGTCGGAATAATTATAAATAGGACTTCTTTTCAATAAATATGCAAGAAATTTCACGTTTTTCCATTATTTTTGGGTAAAGCAAGTGCTCTACGTAGAATTTTAGGCATGACAGCCAACTTGGATTTCTATTGTTTAGCGTACGAAACGAATAAAATAAATGTACGTAGACACGAGCGCTCTATAAATAAATTAAAAGGATCGGAGCTGAGCATTTCAGTATAGTAAGAGAAAAATATTCTGAATCGAACGGTCTATTCAGATTTGCATACGATAAACAAGTTTTCTTGTCCATAGAAATAACATCCGACTTGTCCGTTTGTTTATGGACAAAACAATTCTGTCTTTGTTCATGTTCTGTACATGAAGTAAGTATACAGACGTTTTTCTGGCGTATGTTTGAATAAATGCTTATTTTTTGTATAATTTACTTATTTCATCCATTTCTTATACAAAAAACTACAAGTGACAGCGAATTTAATGTCAGAACATATCTACGTGATACTAAAAACAAACGGTATGATTCTCTCCTGTATTCATATATACTAGAAGTGGAAGAACGTGGTATTCTATGTCTGCTCCAGAAATAATCGAAAAACAAAAAGAGACTCCGAGATTGTCCTTCAGATCAACTTGTAAAAGTCAAAGTAAAAGATCCCTCCTATTTTCCACTTTTTTAATTCGAAGTTTCGCACAATAATAGATATTTTCTAATGGAAGCAAGTTCTATTCTCGACTGAAGCGCATGGAGAAGAGAGAAAGGACACACATTTGATGAAATGACAGAATGTCTGAGTGTAACAAAAACAGCTTTCTCTCAGGTACACGATAGAAGACCCCTGTAAGAACTTTATGGTTGCAGACAGAATAGAAGACCCGGAACTTTTATTTCGTACCCCCTTTATTCGGGTGATCGCACTTTCGTCACGTTAGTTTTCGTCATATAGAAAAAAGAAGTTTCGTCAGACGTGACGAAAGCGTATGGAATTTCTGGGGATAGAGAATATTTCCATTTCTGCTAAGTATTCAGAGCACTTAAACCAACTGCAAGATCAAATGTTATGTAATTTAAAGGAGAAAGTAAGAAATGTTTTTCTGAAGCCAGGAGTACAATTTGCATTAAGACATGCTATAAAGCCAATTCAAGATTGTATAAGTTTACCATTTGCTGGTGCAATGGAACAACTTAATAAGCATATAGACAAACGAGCAGATCGTTTTATGACCATGATTGAAAATTCCACTCAAGATGCATTAAATAAAATAAATTCGAAAATAAAACGAGGCTTAGAACAACGTAAACAACTAGTAGATGTGAGTAAATTAGATCCTTCATTTTTAAAAGAAAAAGTTTGTAATTTAAATAAACAGTCAATTGAAGAGTTAATTATGCAACATGGTGATGAAATTAAAATTGCAGTTAAACATGGACAATTGCTTGCTGTTATACCTACATATAAAGAATATATGAAAAATGTAAACAAAGGAATATTTGGTGGTCTTATGCATTTACAATTAGCAGCTGAAAAATATGGCAGAGACATAGAAATAGTAGATCCTGAGAATTGCTTTAAACCTCACAAAGATGCACCTAATAGTGGCCATATCAAGATTAACTCGAAGAAAAATAAAAGTAAAAGTCCAATAAAATTAGCCTGTTTTAAATCAAAGAAAGAAGGTGAGGCTGGACATTTTGCTCCTGTGGTAGAAGTAGATGGAAAATTTAAAGTCATTGACATAGTACAAAATGAACATACAAAAGATAAATGCTTTGCACAAACTCTGCTGTTTTTTTGACAAATATCATTCTGGAAAATTACAAAAACAGCATTTGAGTAGTGCACAGGATTTTGGTATCAGCAAAGAAAATATCGATAAATTTAACAACAGCTTAGCTGAGTTAGGAAGATCTAGCCGCACTTTAAGGAAAGAGTATCAGACTGGCATTACATTGAAACACTCAAAATTTGTCGGAGGGGTTTTACCGAAAGAAGTAACACCCAACTCTAATGAAATTCGCTATTCGCAAAGTAGTATTGCCGGCAAAACAACTGCCGGTATTCCTCTTGACGACTTAGCAAAACATATGAGGGACAAGGGTTTCCAATATAATCCTGATGATCCTATGTTAGCAGTAAGAATGCCTGATGGTGTGATAACGTCAATAGACAATCGAAGACTTGCAGTGGCTCAAGTGGTTGGTGTTAGTGTAATTGCTGACGTTTATGATTGGAATGACACACTTTCTGAAGGACTACATCAGCGATTGAAAGCAAGGACAGCCGGAGAGGCCATTCAGACCAGAATGCGCAGAGGCAGTTTACCTGTAAAAGATACTGATTACGGGTTCAAGAGAGGGGATGAAGAGGGGGTTAGAATTAGGCAAGATAAAAAGCTTCCGGATTTTGATGGATTTACTTTCGGTAAAAGAAAAAAATTAAAAAACAATCAATGATGGTATATTATTGATGATATATGGCAATTAACAACAACAATTGATAGAACACACAGAACTATGTCAACGTAGAACACACAAAAACTATGTCAACTATAGACGTGTATATAAAACGTATAAATGAAATAGAACAAGTTAATATAAATGAATTTCGCAATGTATGAAACGAAAAATTTTTATACTCTGACATAATAATCTTTAAGCTATCAAGAATGTACTTAAGTCGTCTTCTATTGAGACTAATTGATAAATTAATGTGAAAATTAATCCTATTAAATTTTAAAAGATGCAAAGCTATTTCAATTAATTGTAATTATTCTTTTTGTTGTTGGAATTTTTTTTTGTCTTGGGGCTTACAGAATTTTGAATCAATTGATCAAATCCTGACATCGGCTCATTTGTCCTAATTCTAACGTCGCTTGCGCTGAATCCATAGTTATCGTTCAGGCTTTGGTCACTGATCAAGAATATAAGCTGTATGGTTGAGCAGAGGAGGTAGAACATACTATAGCAATGCACAGGATAGAGATGACAACACCTCAGAGTTTACTTTTGGACACCTTAGTCCAAAAGTAAATTCTTTGCATTGAATGTAAAGTTCAAGTGTTCGATTCTAACAACTGTATAGGGTTCTTTTGTGCTTTGCTTCTTTTTGGTCTATCCTTATCTCTCTCAAAAAATCTTTGCTAATTAAGCAAAGCTTAGCTGACTTTTCCGAGAAGCAAGGTTGTGTTTATGTATAGAAAACTAATCGTGAACAAACTGTACAATCAGATCAAAACTCACGTGGTATATGAATATACGCGGAAAATCTCGTGTACGGAAATACGTTCATCGTTTAAGAGCATTATTCCCTTCACTTGAAAACGAAGGGTCTCCAAAACCTAAATTAAGGTTTTTTTTCTTTCTGGGCGCTCTCACTGTCCGACGGCGGGCGCGTATGTACGCTCTTAAAATATATCTTTTTGTGGCGGAAATATACGATTTAATTCTTTTATATTATCAGCATGCGTCTCTTCATAAGGTGTTAAGTTATACCTTAAATTTCTTATAGAACGTAAAGCACCATAGTCTAATAGAATCTCTACCATATCTTGATGTCCATAATAACATGCTACATGCAAACATGTTGAACCAGTTGAAGTTTCAATTCGATTTATAATATTTTTATTGTCAAGAAATAGTAACATATTTCCGACTTTTTTATTTCGTTTTCTTTACATAAATAGTATAATAAATCACTAATCTTTTCTTCATTATCGTCAGTATTTGGTGAGAACGTTGATGCCATTATTATGAGAAATTCGTCTAGAAATCATGTCAAACATTATATCATTGATTGCTAACAAAAGGAAAAATGTGGATTTGTATTACTATCTATGAATATGTCTTAACATTCGACTCCGTTTAAAAACAAGCATAAATAGTTACAGGTATCGAAGTTATAACAATTCAAAAAGAATTCATTCCTATGGACCTTCGTTCCTGAGTTATTTTCTCTGTCTTCCAGTGAAAGCAAGCAAAGGTTTTCAAAAATTAGAACTCCCTACACGAACGTCGTAGATGTCTGGATTTTTTTCGGTGTTTACAGTTCATATGCACTATACACTCTGGAAGTTACAAAGTTACGTTTTCGTAAAACTGTTTTGCCATAGCTTCATTCCTAACATTATAGCCATATATATATATGTACTGTTGACGACCTTATGAAATGACTATACAAGCATAGATCGAAGATACCTCCATTTTTGGTTCTCGTTTTCTCTTTTCTTTAATAGTTAATAAGGAAAATACACGTTGCCAAATAAATTCTTCTTTCCCCTTACATACCATGAACATATTCCCAATAAAGAGAATTGACTATATAATGGCCAGTTCTTGAGGAAGCAAACAATAGAACAACAAAACTGACCACACTGGTGTACAACATGCTTTTCTCGCTAATAGAACGTTTTATAGTTTTGAAAGTGAAAGCGCTGGAAAGCTACAATCAAAATCCTAGGAAAATGGTTATAACTGGGAGAGAAGCCATTACATAGTCACTTCTCTTTCTTGGGAATATGTTCATGGTATGTAAGGGGAAAGAAGAATTTATTTGGCAACGTGTATTTTGCTTATTAACTATTAAAGAAAACGAGAACCAAAAATGGAGGTATATTCGATCTATGGTTGTGAATAACTTTTGATGGGAACGAGACAGAGACCTGCGATTTTCGCTGTTCAATAGTCAAGACTTGAGCAGAACTTTTCACAAGCGGAAGCAACTTTTGAAAAAATTCCAGAGATTGGGTTTCAAGAGGATCTTTTGAAAACTGGCTCCGTTCTCAGAAAACTAACATACAATGTTAGTAATTTTTCTGCATACGTAGATAGTCCGGACGTTACTCTACAAAATTATGCAAGTCCCGGCTCTCTAGCTATCGTTGTTCGGGCAGGGCTCTCTTTCCCCGAGCACGTGTCTATCTCCAAGCAGACATCTCTGGGAATCTCAAAATACCATGGACTATAGGTAATCGACTACGCTGAGCATAGTAGCAACATTTGTTTTTGTGTAGAAATGAATATAACTNAGGCATTGTGGTGAAAAACGGTTTTTCGCCTGTTACTAGCAAAAATTAAAATCCTTATATCTCGATCAAATCTCATGCTGACTCAAGGAAATTTTCAGGAAAAGGCTTAAAAGGTGCCATATGTTGTTGACCACGCCGAAAAAGTGGTCCAGCAGAACACTGATGCTCTGAGGTCTTTCAAAAGGTTTCTGGAAAACCTTAAGCCAATGCCCAGCTCACATTCACCTTTTTCGTCTTTGATTATGCTTTATGAGCTGTCCTGAGCGTTTTCTGAAAATTTCCTTGAGTCAGCATGGGATTTGATCGAGATATAAGGATTTTAATTTTTGCTAGTAACAAGCGAAGAACTACTCTTTCCTTTATTTCTTCTTTTCAAGAATCGCATCGTTTCTATATAAAAGCATACACTTATATACTCGTCCATCAGATAAAAGAAAGGAAGAAAGGGACAAAGTGCCACATTACAGAATGATAAGGACAATACGTAGGACGAAAAGGATTATAAGGACAGATCAAAGGGCATACATAAAATGCACTTAATCGGGAGCGTTACAGCATTTCCAAGAGCAACAATTGGTCGCACAGAAGTTTGCTTTTCTTGACATCAAAAAGTACATAATTAAAATATCCTTTATCTTGTAGATTGTATAGCTTCTCACGCTGTCTCTTTTGTTATATTTCGTCTTTCTAATACAACGCATTGAACAATTGAAAATTACAATGCAAGACGCGACCATTTATTCTAGGCCACCCATCACTTAATATCTTTGACGAGGTATATTGAGTTCGGAATACTTTCTATAGAAAAAAATTATTTTTGACAATGTTGATTATCATATGTTATCTCTTTTCAGCCAATGCTGAATGGCAGCGGAATGGGAAAACTATCATTGGAGGTCGCCAAAAAGATAATGTTACCTATCAAGTTTACCATCTTTATGGTATCTTTATTGATGATGATCAAACAATCATTATTGCTGATCGTCGCAATCATCGGATCGTTCAATGGAAGCAGGGTGATAAGGAAGGACAAGTGATATTTAGTGATCTTGTTAATGGAACAGGAATGAATCAACTCTATCATCCGACTGATGTATTGGTCGATCGAACATATAATAGTCTTATTATTTGTGATCAATCTAATCGAAAAATCATGCAATGGTGTCGTCATAATTATAACAAAACCGGAGAAATTCTCCCATGGATAATGAGAGATATTTATATGTCTCTGACTGCAACCATCATAAAGTAAAACGATATCATATCGATGGCAAGAATGAAATTGTCGTGGCTGGCAGTCAAAATCGGGGTGCTAAATTACATGAACTCAATACTCCAGACTTTATTTTTGTCAATCAACAACAGACTGTTTATGTATCGGATATCGAAAATCATCGCGTAATGGAATGGAAAAAAGATGCAAGAGTAGGCAAGCGGGTCGCAGTAAATCAAACATCAGGAGACAATGCAGAACAATTACGATATCCTAATGGAGTATTCGTCGATTTGTTAGACACTGTCTATGTGGCAGACTATCAAAACGATCGAGTGATGCGTTGGTGTCAAGGAGCAAGTTTCGTGTCCCTTGTGGTGGGTGGCCAAGGTGAAGGATGGAAACCCCATCAGTTAGATGGTCCTAGAGGTTTGTTTTTTGATGAACGTGGAAATCTCTATGTTATCGATTGTAATAATAATCGCATACAACAATACTTGATTAAATAGACTTATGGTTATCATTGAATTTTTACCTTTTGATTAAATAAATGATCAGAAATGAGTATGTGAATGCGGACATGAATGAAAATATATGTAAATCGATGTTTCTCCACAAGAATTCAATCAAGCACACAGGGCCGTAGCCAGAAATTTGATAAGGGGTGAGCATCTACAAAAAACGCTGTTTGCCTGTTTGCCTACCTTCTGGCTACGACCTATGCAAACACATCAAATCAAAGCACATGAAATTTGAAAATAATGCATTAAAACGCACAACAAATAATGCATTATAATGTTGTATTATTTTAAGAATCTGCTAGATGGGTAGTTCGACATTCTGTTGGGAATTTTTCTCGCCAAGACATGCTTCGCATGCGTTTATTTTTTCACGATTTTACGCTCACGAGTCTTGTCTTTCATTGAAGACCCTGCCAGGCCTTTCAGATAATTCATTCATAGTGGGGAAAAATTAGGAAAACAAGATAATAATAAAATAATGAAGATCGGTCGATAAGGCCCGGAGAGCCTTTTTTTACATTTTGGATTCAAATGGTACAATAAAATTGCAATGGGCTCATATATGTATCAGAGGCGATAAAGTATCTTTAGCTCCCTAGCGGGAATCGCCTCGGAGACTTCTTGTCTCTTCATCACCTCGTACCTCGACAAGTTTCGAGAAATCTACTTTGCGGGGATCACCCCGCAGGGCTTCTGCTCCGTCATCCCTTCTCCATCGTCAACTATCGGTGCTTCTAATTTGATGTGTTCCTAAAGTTGATTATATTTTATTTCTTTTTGTTGAAAAATATATTTCGCTGCGTTTTATGTCAGCAAAAGACTTCGCCTTCCTATCATCACTTGCATTTGTCATTTTTTTCAGAAAAATTAGAGCATTATGTGAAGAGAACATAACAGAGAGAAACAACCGGACTAAAACATAACTTAGAGGAGTCTTATTAGAAATAAAAATTATAATAATCATAAACTGTGACTATGTTCTGCATGTTTGGTATTGACTAAAGTTTCATTATTTTATGCTAAAGCATAAAAAAGTTTAAAAAAACCTATTAAAGCATCTTAATTTAAAAAAAATAATTTTTGGACCATGCAAAAACTGGGCAAACCCTCATTCACAGGTGCATAAATACACCCGAGTGAGGACTACATTTTCATTTAAGGCATGAGCCGTAAACATTTTTCCGCATTGAGAAAATCAGCTTATGAGGTCGCGCGTTTAAGCCAAGAACCATGTTCTAACGAAGCAGTTTTGAACTCTCTGAAAAGGTAGAAAAGATAGCCCGTGTACTAAAGTATAAATTTATAACAAAAGATAATTCTTAAAGCTCGCAAAAATAGGTGAAGAAACTTTATCTTTAAACTTCATCAGAAAGGCCGATTTGCAGCGCCATCTGTTGTCCTCTCTGTAATCTGAGAACGAATGAATTTTGAATGACGCAAAAATGATTATCTAGTTACATATAGACCTACAACTGGTATAAATCCCATTTAAATCTGTGACATCAACAATCGCTGTCTATGGGTGATTGTCTGAGTCTATCGGATAATGGCTCTTAAGTTAGCATTATCATCCAGTCGAAATTCATGTAAAAGAGATCTATTCTCTTTCTTCATTATTTTTCCAATTTCTTTCATCGGGCCCTTGAAGCGAGCACTGTCAATTGGTCTTCATGGAAAGAGACGATGGAGATTATGTTCAATCTTCGCGCGTGCTAGCTCTCTAATTTACGGGATCGTTTGCTCCTTTCGTTGTAATAGTATAATAACGAAAGCCTCATTTGAGTAATCAATCGAATTTTTCTCCTTCGCCCAATACTATGAAGGGTATTTACTCCAGTGCCAATAATAATCCAATTGACAATTCTAGAATAATGTCTATACGGAATAACAGCGAACTACCTAGACCCAGGTGATTTTTCTGCAATATAAATCTGGAAAAATCTTTGCAGTAACTTTGCAGATTCTGCAAAGGGATTCTGCAGATTTGAAGCAGATCTGCATTGCAGATGTGCCAAGATTTGACCAAAGATCTGATGCAGATCTGCA